TATAGAATGTTCGTGTGTAGGAAATGTGAATGCTGGTTCACGGTTCATATCACGACCGTTTAATTTTTTTATTTAAATTTAATTTGTAATATCTCTCATGCCAACATTATAATGATTTAAAACTTGTAGGTAAATAATCTTTTCTCACTTTAAAATAAAATAAACAACTGCAGCATGCAGCAAAATATTTAACTTTAAACTAATTTTACCTAGAAATCTGACACATACTTTCGTGATGTCGTGTTTGTTTCAGTACCCGCTTGTTAAAACTTCTGAACGTTTGTGACGTGAATTCGTTAATGAATAAAACGTCGCATTCTAACCTACGTTTGGCTTTATTTTAAAGGATTTGTACTTATTTTGAAATTGTTTCCGTCGAGGGAACGAAAAACAGTCTCTTTTAACAGTCGTAAGTAGATACACGTTTTGTCTTCCAAACCTTTTGATATATACAAAAAAATACGACAAGTGCAGGGATGGAACCGACTTCCATAACCTTCCGTGCTGATGCCTAACCAATTGAGCTACCGTGTCCGTCATCGTCGAATTTCTTGAACCCATTTATTACATTCTCATTACATACTCTTGCGCAATGTAATTACAATTTTAACACTTCTTAGGAAAAATATGGAAATATTCTTCTCACCTACAGGTATTTATGCATTACTAATTAATTTGTAAAAATAAAGCAAATTTTACTTTAGTAAAGTTTATAAAAATCAACAATGTACTATACTTGGGTTTGCGTCGCGAAAACCGTATACCTAGTAGACACTAAATTTTACGAAGTATTATAAATCTTTGCAATATCTCAAATATATTTGACAAAGTAGAGTAATAATAATTCCTAAGAAGAAAATATAATATACAATAAAAATTGGTTCAAGATATTGTCAATAACATCTCTTTCTAACAAGATAAAGTTCAGAAGTACCTGACGTAACTTTGTTGCTTTAAAAACTAATCGCGTGCCAAAGTTAGCTAAAATTGTGTAGACGGCACTTTAGAAATAACAAGTTGGGAATCTAGATCAAATAAGAGTTTCAACGAATTGTATGTGTTGGGATATAGAAGTTTGACAAAGCAATTTTCTATTTCTCTCTGGATGTTGTGTACCGCAGGATAAAATTAGTGTTAGATAACCTATAGTATATTTTAACATATATATTTTTTTAGATACTGTCTATAGTACCGAGTAGTCACATTTTAACATATCATTCATTTAAAAGATAATAATTTGAAAATGATTTTTTGCTTCGGCCCGACGTTTCGGATGCTTTGCAGCAGCCGTGGTCACGGGGGGTCGCCCCGAATGTCAAATAAGTTTAACTAATATATCGCGTTTTAAACCGTTAAAGTGTTTTATTTTTATATATATTTTTTTCAATATATTTTCAAACAACACAATACCTAAATTACTAAACCTTATTTTGCGGGTTGCACAGTGTATAGGCTCATGCGTTGAATAATTCATGCCGCCATCGCTTTGTGGTCGGTAATTCAATTACGTCCACTGTCCGGTACGGAAATAACACAAGGCATTTGATATTAAATTGGAAAATAACTGGACACTACGGGAAAAATGGCTTGCAATCTTTATTGCCTTTTGAAAAGCCAACCTTTACTATACGCGCCATGTTTATATCCTTTTCTAAATGGTTATATAGTGTAATCTCATTTTTCCCGTTTTCCCTTTGGGGCATGGGGCGGACACATTTTTGTAAACGTTTTACTGATCGATTATACAACCAAGTAGTTGATTACACTTGATTGCCTTTTCGGACCGAAATGCACATACATAACGCAACGCTAGACAGCATTACCGCTTAGCCAAGTAACGGTCATAACTCATAATTATCGCTAGGAAAACTATATGGAATAGTTTAAAACACGAAATATATATAATGGATATATTTTAAATACGACCCGACATTTCAGATGGTTTACAGTAGCCCTTGCGTGACAATTATATGGGATTATTTATATTAGACTCATTTTGTCGTCTGGAATCAGAATCAAAATTAATATGACTTTTTTTTTTAAGGAAATATGAGAAATCCTGGTCGGAAAACCAGCCAACGTTATGCTGTTGCGCTTCACCTGGCATATTGTTTTAGAAATCGAAGTTTGGCGAATTTTCTCAAATTGCGAAAATGAAAAATTTAGCTTTTAGTAAATCTTTTACAAGCTTTTAAGTAACATTTCATTTTTTTATGATAGAGGAGGACAGACATTATATAGGGCGCACTTGCATATTCCAAGATGCGCTGTCCGCCTATTTTATCTTTGGATATTCGGAAATCTACAGACTGAAACCGAAACGCGATTAAACTTCACGGCTTTTTCACCTGCGGGCACATCTGTGGTAGTTGGTGACCCGGACGGAATGTCTATATTACTACCACCAATATGCAGATTTCCAGACTAAGTCCATACTTCAGAAAAGTCTTAAATTGAAGAATTAGAAACATGATAGACCTGGTCTGGTAAAACCCACGACCTTGATGACCCATGACGTTGATCATTAGCCATGATTTGCTACCATTAGAACTAGCTATCAGATTTTACAGAAATAAGTTAAATAGAACAATTTAGAAACTGTATAAATAAAACACTTTAACGGTTTAAAACGCGATATATTAGTTAAACTTATTTAAAAATCATTTTCAAGTAATTTTAACTAATATATCGCGTTTTAAACCGTTAAAGTGTTTTATTTAAATGTGTACTACTCGCGTACACTATAAACAGTATTTAAGATATATTTTAGAAATGCATCGATACACGGTGAAAAAGAGATTGTATATATAGAACGTTTCGGTCGGGCAGGGCACAGGACTCTGACCAACTACTCGCCAGTATACAAGCGATCTTTGAAACGGACACAGAACTGTGTTTGTCCCATGCTCCACGGGGGAAACGGGATTTTACTTTCTGTATTTGTTTGTATCTTATATTAATGTTTTGTTACATATACAGAGTAACTCGCAGCTATTACTGAGATTATTACACATTAGAGGGTTAAAACATAAAACACATCCGTAATATCACAACACGGCCATTGACTACGAAATCATAATGTCGTTAGTTTGGCTTTTTGTTGAATGTAACATGTCGAAGAACTTCTCTCAGTAAGGGTGAAATCGTTAGCAAAAAGGCTAGTACTAACCACAATGCTTAGTAAATGTTTACTCTATTCATATAGTCAATGACGAAAGACAACCGCGATTTGAGTTGTTGTTTGGTGAAATAGCCCTATAACATAACATTATTCTATTTATTTATTTGGGTCAAAATTAGAAATAGAAATTTAAGCACCTTCCCGTTTTCAGATTAATCTGAGATTTGGAAACACATTTAATCGATAGATTTGGAACAATTTAGATGACAATACAATATAATAATAATATATAAAGTCCAAGATGGCGGCCGAAAAAAAATGGCGGTTTACATACTTTTCTTTAACCCTCTCAATATGGGTATCAAATGAAAGGGCTACACTAGTAAAACACGATGATTATGACAATTTTTGTAGTGTTCAATGCATAAAAAATAAAACTGTTTAACTTACAAGTTTTTTTTAAGTTGATACTTGTTAAAATTCGAACTACCTCAAAACCAGTGAAGCTTATTATGCTTTATAATTCGACGAAATTTTAATATTATTACAAGTAATTGAATGTCTAGGATCTAGATATTCTAGACGGGGTCTAATCTTTAAAAAAATAATATGTACAGACATTTTAAACCAGTTACCCGTCTCACAATTAATCGTAGAAATAATAACTGGTAATCAAAGGCAATCAAAAATCTAATAAGCTATATAATTTATTTACTCGCAAAAATCTGTATGAACTAAAAAGGCAAACATATGTAGGAACTAACAGAGAACAGAAAGGAGATATAAAAGAATTAAAGTTGGAGCAACTAATATTATTTTTCAAAGAAAGATTTGAAGAGTATATACCTACAGGGAGAGTGAGTCGCAATGCAACGTCCTACATAAGGGGGAAATAATTAGAAATAGTTGAGATAATGTGAACTTATAATCCAGCTTTATAAGTTATCTATCCTATCCCTAATAAAAAAATAGCCCATTATTGGTAGCATACAGAGCGTATCATTTTAATTTTTACCCAACTTGACTGACCACGCTAAAAAAAGGAACGGTTTGTTACAGTGATCATCACTTCCCTCTGTCGCATTGCCAATGCGCACTTCCTAGGAAGAAGAAAAACAGATTTGTTTTTCACACACTTATTATAAATTGATCCCTTACTCGAATTATTTGATTATTTACTTATTCGAACAATAAAACCAAATTTGTAAGTCCTTAAAAAATTTAGAAATATAAAAAATACTTGTGTTTGTTGCCGTGACGTTACCTCTAGAGGCGTAAAATCAAACTGTAAACAATAATATCTGCAAACTTTACGACCCATCTTTGCATAAACATTTTTATCGATATTACGTTAATAAACAATGATTTAAGATTTCGAATAGTTGCTAATGCGATATGAAAGCTTATCAATAATATAGAGTGTTGCCAGATACAAGACATTAAATATGACACATTTATGACATAAATTTTATAAAAACACGCGTGAATTTACTTGAAGGTGGATTTTTGTGTTTTATTTCTTTTTGTTCAGACTGATTAGGTTAATCTATAAAACATTTTAAGACATAAATACTAAACATCTTATTTTTGTAAAAAAAAATAATAAGGATTATGTATATATACACTATTTCAGTATAAATAGTTATTATTGAAGTAATTTTAATAAATGATAATTTGCCTAGAATCGGGGTATGTTTTTGTATCGACTACGCTGGTGGTAATCGATAAGCCTATTTTTATAGCGAAGTGCGCTATTTGTCGCCAGTCAAACCAATAACTAGTGTGCTCAACTGACATAAATACGGTGATATACGAAAAACAATAAAAAACGAATAAATTTAACACAAATAATAAAAAAGCAGGATTCAATAAATTAAAAATGAGAAGTAAGTAAAGCTAATTCTGTATACTTTTTTTGTGCTAGAGCTTTACAAATTTATTTTCTCTCTTCAAATGAAAAGAGCATTTTTGTCTGTTCCTCTGATCGATTTACAAATGGGAACTTAAATTATCCTCAACAATAATTATTATTTCATTTAAAAAAATATTTAATTAAATATCACTTCTAATATCTGATACAAATGTAAAAACAACCAAAAATTGGACATAATTCTATTGCATACATAATTAAATTTTCAGTTCTCGGTATTAAAGACGCAAAAATTAATGACACCGCTTTGGAAGTGCACTTTGATAATGAAAAACTCGTAACATTCGAGGACTGCTGGTTAAGAGATCACTGCAGGTAAGCGTAGCTTTTAGTAGATTATTTCTCGTCACATTATCTTTAAGTGCATCTTTAGTGCTCTTACGTTTCGCGACACTTTTCATGAAAATTAGTTTTTCATTGAAAAATCTGTTACTTTGTAAGCGTACTAATTGTAACTCGTTATTTCCTCAAATATGATCATTAAAGAACTTAACTCAGATTTTTTAAGTCAAATATATGCTAATTAATCAAAAGCATATAGTTTTTTACCTAATTTAATATTAATTTTTGAGTTTAAAAAACTTTAATGAATATTTACTGGGATGTTACTGCTTACAAACAGGATTTAAGCCATAGTAAGCAGCCAATTAAAAAAAAACATTTTCTCTTAAGCGTCTTGTAATATGTTTTATAATACAAAATATACTGTTTCCTGTGCAAATAAATAAAAAAGAAATTAGTACTAAGTCAAACACTAAATTAACTTTATTACAGAAAGACTGAAGTTGAGTTTCAATTGTTTCTCCAGGTGTTCAGAATGCTTCGTCACCAACACAAATCTAAGGGCCAACCACCTATTAGAATTATCAGATGCCACCTTGAAGAGCGTTTCTGTCAACGGTTCCGAACTTCAAGTAACTTGTAAGTCTTATAAAGCTCGAATCTGCTGATAACAATTATATATACGGAATAGCACTTTAAGTCTTAAGTTTTGAAATAAATTAACAATTTAGCTTGTATTAAAACGCGTCAGAGACAGGTATTTTTGAACTGATTACTGAATTTAGTAAGTAGAGTGTTTGATCATACTCAAATCATAATGTTCACAATTTTTATTAAATAAAACAATTGTAGCAGAATGTACCATTGTAGTATGCAATCCAAGTAATAGTGGATATAGATTTGTAATCTTTTATTATTTACAGGGTCTGACAATCACGAATCAGTCTATGACGCGGAATTTCTGATAGAATTTGATTTAAAGACGTGGGTAGACCGCAGAAGAATCCACCCTGTCCTATGGAGAGGGGATGAGATCGCTACTAAAGTCGGCAGAATCTCTGCGGACAAATTCCTCAACACAAAACAGGGGGCTAAGATTATCTTCCAATCAATATTGGACTATGGTGTTGCTTTTATAGATCAAGTAAGAAATCTTTGGACAATTCAAACTTATAAGACACAAAAATAAATTTTGGACAATTAATTAAACAGAAATTCAATCTATAGAAAAATTAGCTAAAGTTAGTTTCTGCTAAGCTAAAGTAGTAGCTGCTTTCCTGCTACATAAGTAACGATAATAAATATTATTTTTTAAACCAGTAATATTACAACTAACTTACTTTAAATACAGTAGTCCCTTAAAAGAACGTCCGTTACTGTTCAGATAAACACAAGTTTTCGTAAGAGCAAAATTTGCTTATTGCAATCTATCTCTAAATACTAACATAAAGCCGGAGAGTTTGTCTGTTTGTTTGAATGCGCTAATCTTAGGAAGTACGGTTCGAATTGAAAAAAACGCGTGGTGACTAAAGGGAGCGAAGAGACAGCGGGAAATGTGGGAAAAATGGGGAAAATTATTACCATATAAAATTGTATTCAAGGTGGAACCAACTCTTGAAGCAACAGCAGTAGTCTCCGAGGGTTTGGGTGGAATCCAGAAAACCTTATTCGGAGATATGTGGGACATCAAAGTGGACGAATCTCTCAACGACACGGCTTTTATGAGTATTGCTCTACCTCAACACACGGATCTTTCGTCCTTCACCGACCCAGCTGGGTAAATATTTTTTTATTTAATGAAATCTGTCATTCGAAAAATTACGTTATCCAAGTTCCAAGCAAAGATAACAGAATATAAAAACAAATATAGAAAAGACACCGGAAAAAGATATTTTTACAACACTGTCTTTTAATAGTAATTTATAGGGTTTTCTAGGTTTTTGGTTTTGTAGATCCTTCACTACTATTCAAGCACCATATTACAAGTTGGTTGAAAAAGTATTTTTGAAGTTTAAAAAAAATTGAAGTTTTTACCACGCAAATACATTGACCGTGGAATTTTTTATGCATAACATGTGAATGTTTCAAAACTCATGGTACCAATCAAGTAATTAATTCTTCCAGCTTACAACTACTCCACTCCCTAGAACACACGAATGGACAAGGTGGCGAAACAGTTCTCGTTGATGGATTTTACGCAGCAGCCAAACTAAAGGAAGAACATCCAAAGGACTATGAATTCCTGACGAAGTTCCCAGTGGAGGCTGAATACAAGTTCAACGGACACTCATTCAGACATGGAGCACCAGCTATTGAGTTAGACATGATTACACAGGACGTTAGACAAGTCAGGTAAAAATGTAAAACTAAGTAACAGTACCAATTAGTGACGATACAGTTCCAAGAAGTTATGCTTACAATAACAATTACAGTAGCCTAATAAGAAAAATATGATTTACAATAAGGAGGAAAATAAAAATTCGCAATTGACTTAGATGAAAAATGAATTTGTACTATTATTTGCGTAAGAATTGTGTTAAGAATTTTCGATCACTGTCACTTTTAATTACACTTTTAATCACTTTTAGATTACAATTTTTAGATGATGAAAATATAAATAACTCTAGTCATAAAATTGCAGTTAGGCTACTCTACCTCTAGCGGCCGTAGATCTAAAACGTAGGTCATTTTATTAAGGTAGACAGGTAATGAGTTCGAATCTCTAGCATATTGTACTGAACTACAAAAGCTAATGTTGCCTTACAATAAAATTAAGATGAAGAAACCTCCTACATTTATTGGATGTAAGAAAAAAACAGCGACTAGTAATTTCCTCTGGGAAACTGGGAAAGCGAGAAGATGAATTAAATAGATTTAATTACGTATTTTAGATTCAATTCCTTCGATCGCTCTCCGATGGCGTTCGCGAACGGTGAAGATTGCAGAGCGTATTATCGCTCCTTGAAACACTTCGCTGAGTACATTGAAAACAAGAAGAACCACTGGCAATTCAAACTGCAACCAGGTAAAAATTTAATTAAATGTCCTTAAGTGAACTTGCATTTCGTCTTAGCTATAAGAGCTACCACGTACATTATTATTTGCTTACTTCATCCATATGTTAGACTGCATCATGTACACAATGTTAGTATTTGAGAAAACAATGGCCAAATCGTACCTGACGGCGACCCAGATGTGTGTAATATCAAATTATGCTTTTATTTTAGGAAATATTAAAAATACGAGTTAAATAAAGCCAAACAAACGTTTTCTTTTTTCATATAATATTTTTTAATCTGTTTGTTCAGAAAGTATCGTTCGCATATCGAATTTATCGTCTAATATACAATGCTGATTTATTTTATTTATTGTTTTTTTTTTAAAGAGCAAGCAAAATATTTGTCACCGACGCGCTATCGATGGAGATTTCGGATCACTGACAATTGACGATATTAAATTATGTTGGCTTTTAAAAAAATGTTTCCGTATAGGAAGGTTTTTAATAAATCAAACCCTTTATGGTTTGTTACTAGTCGCGAAAAATTCTAGTCAGGTCCAGTACCTAGACAATTTTGGCCATTGTTCTTTCTGAAAGAGGTTCTTCGACAATCCACAATTGTCTTTGGGTCCAGGTTCTCGTTATAAACCGTCGTGCTCATATATTTCTTTCAGGCGTGGTCATGGTGTTCGATAACTTCAGACTGCTCCATGGAAGAACTGGTTTCACAGGCAAGCGAGTTCTGGGTGGCACCTACGTCTCCAGAACTAACTGGATGGACAAAGCCCGCGCCTTGGGTTTACTTCACTAATTATTATTAATTATATGTATTATTATAAAGTTTAAGGTTTAAATAAATTGTTTGTTTCCAATGTGACTTTTTTTGTGAAGATTTCTAAAGCCAAAAACGACAGCACACCTTGTTTAGATGTTATATGGCTGGGGTATTTCCAACTTCCATCAAATGAGTCCCATACTGTCTGTTCTCCTCTAGAAGATATAAAAAAATGGTCTTCATATTTAAATAAACTATTTTTGTAAGAAGGGTTCCAACTTATAATATTGACGTTTCTTAGTTAAAATATATAAAGTAATCCTGCTTAAAGCACAATTCAATACTTGCTTTGTTTCCTTCGCAGGAGATATTAATTACACTATTATTAGACCATTACGATGTCAAATCTGACCTCTGGCTTGGGATATATAAACTGGACAGATAGAATAACATATTTTTCACTAGGTTCAGCCCGCGACTTCGTCTGCTTGAAAAATTGTAATTGCACCGAGTATTTTTTTAAGAAATATTAAGTATTGTCTGTACTTTACGCGATTGGTGCACTTTTAAATAAAACAATTTTAACGGTTAAAAACGCGGATGCTGTGCACGAGACCACATAGTAACGAAATATCGGGCTGTAGTTAAAATAAATTGTAAATAAGCCAACTAATAATAATTAATAGGATAAATTATTAATAATTATTGAGCAATAAAAATAAAATAATTTAGATTACACCTTGTTTTTTCTTTTACAATTTGAATATTAATTGTTCTTTTTTAATGTTTGTAAAAGCACTTTCGTTATCTATAGCAATTAATTTAATTTGAAGTGAGTTAATACGAGTTATTTTCAACTATATTACAGTTCTTCTTCTACTAAGTAAAGTATTATTACTTGTTACTTAAAGTCGAGCGCACGTCGTTATCATGAAATGTAAGTGGCCTTTAAATCTTAATTAGTACATTGTTATAAACGAATACATTATATTGAGTATTGTCTTTAGTCTTCGTGAATAGTATACATTTAAATAAAACACTGTTAACTGTTCAAAACGTGAAATATATTGGTTAACTTATTTAAAATTAATTTTAGCTACGGCTCAGCCGTGGTCACAAGCGGACAAAGAGACAAGTTACCAACATAATATTTCGCGTTTTAAATTGTTAAAATTATTTTATTTCCATTATACTTTTAAACAAAACACTTTAACGGTTTAAAACGCGATATATTAGTTAAACTTATTTGAAAATGATTTTTAACCGTGGTCACGGGAAGACACGGGGACCACGGCTGCTGCAAAGTATCCGAAACGTCGGGCCGAAGTTAAAAATCATTTTCAAATAAGTTTAACTAATATATCTCGTTTTAAACCGTTAAAGTGTTTTATTTAAATGTGTACTACTCGCGTAAACTATAGACAGTGTTCCATTATACTTTTTAAATATATTTTTTTGGATAAAATGTTAAATATTTACATTCATGTCGCGATGTTTTGATTATTACAGTTTAGTTACGATGAAATTAAAATTACCTTAGTAACGCAATCAAGTGTGTTTATTGTTTTAGCTGTAACAGAAGTGCAAGTTGTAAGTGGCGGACTAAAAATTCGTTTTAATGTCTCTAAGGAGTTGATCTTTCAGAATTGTTGGCTACGAGACCATTGCAGGTAATTGTATATTTATTAACAGACAAAACAAAAAATACTTTATCGTAATCACAAGAATTTTGCAAAAAATAATATTTAATAAAATAAAATACAAACAATATGAAGTTAGATATTTATTAACATTTTATTGCACAATAGATATAAAAATAATAATAGAAACAGTTTTATAATTATAGTTTTATTCTTTATATATTCTTCTTATTATAGGAAATTATAACAATGTATAATATTCGACCTAGCTTCAACTATTGTTCCAGCTGTTAGCTGTAAATTTCCAATTTCGATTCCGCATAAAAATCGGTCGCTCAACTTCAACCAACGCCATTAATGTTTGGTGAAATTGGTATACTATTCTGAGGTTTTATTAATTGTACATTTATTTTTACTGGGCTAATTTATATCCTACTGGGCATCCACGTACAACAAATGCTGAGCGGTGTCCCTCCACATACATATAATTTATAAGTACATGATGTATTTTTGGTGTAATTTAATTTTGTTTATTCGTGTGTAGTTGTTTTTTTAATTTTATTTGATAACATGTAGGTGCACCAAATGTTACAACGCAAACACAAAACAGAGATCAGCACATATCCTAGATATTCCAGAAACTTTTATATCCACAGCAGTATGTCAAGATGGTCATCTTTTTATTAAATGTAAGTATAAATAGAACAAAGTAAAGAGTGTCATTGTTTCCATTTAAAAGCGGAATTAAAATTTAACTTAAAAACGCCGCTTCTCAGCAATGACTATTGCGCGATAGCCTTATAACGTGTATGGAATGTGTGCCTTAATACATCTAGATAAGAAGCGCTGTCTATCTAATTTGGCTCTGGATATTCGGAAATCGATAGACGGAAACCGGAACGCGAATTAACGGCTTTTTCATTTGTAGAGGGTGACTCATAATCCGGGCGGAGTTTCGTTATTCCTACCTCCCATTAAATATCCAGATTTCGGGACAAGTCAAACGTGTTACAGCAAAAAATATTTTGTCGCGAGGACCCAAACTATTAACCATACCAACGAGCTTGCCAAGAAGTTTACCTGGATTTGGAACCCAGGACGCTACATAAGTGACTAATTTAAACGTCAAGCTGAGTCATATTCATACGTAACCTAAAACTCTTCCAGGGTCAGACGATCACGAATCTACCTACGATGTGGAGTTCTTATCGCAATTCGATTACGAGAAGTGGAGCGAAAGTCGTAGAACCAAACCATATCCGTGGCGCGGGACGGATATCGTGGAGAAAGTTGCAAAAGTTCCAGTCAACAAATTCCTCAATACCGACGAGGGCGCAAAGGCCGTGTTCCAGTCCCTGCTGAGTTATGGCGTCGCGTTTATTGATGGGGTATCTAAGATTTTTTTTACAACTAGCTGTAATTTTGTTTGTGTAATTAGTTTCGGTTACACTGCTGATTTCCAAATATCCAAAAATAGGTCGACATCTACCAGTAGTTAGGATTGTTTTGTGGTTGGGATAGTTTTAACTTCCAATAAGTAAACCTCGTGCTTGTATGTACGTTCTCTACCTTTATAAAACTACTAGTTATATTAAACTTTATAAAGTAGACATATATACAAGCTTAAAGTCAAATCCCGTTTCCCCTCGTGGGGCATGGGGCGAACACATTTCTGTGTCCGTTACATTTATCGGTTTTTATTTACAGGCAAGTAGTTCATCAAACTTCTGTACCCTGCTCGATCGAATTAATTTATTCTTTCCCCGGATTCGAACACACAACCTCTCGCGCTTAACATAATACTAGGCAGCACGTTCAACCATTTAGCTACAGAGGCGGTCTATTATAATTTGATTATTTTTTCGCTATAAGGAACAAATAAATAAAGTTGTAACAGAAGTTTCAACCAAACTGACTACAACCAACGCGATGACATTCCTTTTAACTCGTTTTAAGGAAATGACTATGGGGTCTACCTTTTTGGAATGAAGAATTCCCAAATTGACATGTCTTTATCTTTTAGGTAGAACCAACACTTGCATCTACTGAGGTTGTATGCAGGGCAATGGGGGGGATACAACACACCTTGTTCGGTGGTATGTGGGAAATTAGACCTGAACCTGGAGTGAATGACACAGCATATATGAATGTTGGTCTCCCTCAGCACACGGATTTGTCTTCATTCACTGAACCAGCTGGGTATGATGATTGTTATAACAGAATCGCGGTCAATACAAAAAAAATGTTTTACATATTATCGCAGGGCACACAAGTTTTATAAACAGGAAATAGTTTTTGTATAATGTAGATATAAAAAAAGGTGATAAGTATAGGATTGGAATCATATTTTTTTTGCGCATGAGATAACATATGAACACTTGGTGTTTAAATTTTATACTTGAAAAATATACAATACGCTACGGTGTCGTTTTCCTTATATATAAATGTAGTTAAATGATCAGACGTGTTAACACTTTACGTTAAACATGAGAAGTCCTGAGTTCGAATCCTGGGGAAACATTTGATTATCTAGCGCCCCTTTTAAGAACTGATCAGAAAAAAAGCACACAGATGTATTGCCCTACAGGGGACAAGTATTTCACTTAATTTTACAATTCGCAAATCTGCATAAAAAATATTATTTTGCAGACAAATTCAACTATACAATATCAGACAATTTAACAGTGAAAAGTTAAGGTTTTTTCATATTTTGTCCTGCGCACACGTCTTTACCCTTATTATCTTATTAACATTCACTCATTTTCAGTCTCCAAGTATTTCACTGTCTCCAACACGATGGCACGGGAGGGGAGAGTGTTATATCTGATGGATTTTACGCAGCGAACAAATTGAAGGAAAGTCATCGTGAGGACTATAACTTCTTGACGACATTCGACGCGGAAGCCGAATACGTCTTTAATGATCATCATTTCAGATATTCCGCACCGATGATAGAGCTCGACAATTTTGGAGATCTTAAACAGATTAGGTTTATAGTCATTTAATTGTTTTTTTTCCTTAATAGATACTTTGTCTGGAGTAATAGTCATGTAATGTAAATAGTAATAATATTACATAAAACATAACGGTTTAAAATGAGAAATATATCACGTCAATTTAGTTTCAATTACATCTACTTTTAAATCTCACTTAACTACTTGTTCTTAAGTAGTAAACGTTTAAATAAATTACCTTTTAATAGTTTAATATGCGGAAAGGGTTAAAAGTATTTTATTTTAATATTTCTTATATGTCTTAGGTTCAATACGTACGATCGATCTTCCATAGCGTTTAAAAATGGCGACCAATGCAACGCGTACTATCAAGCATTGAGGAACTTTGCGAAAATCATTGAGGACCCAAAAAATCATTGGCAGTTCAAATTAAAACCAGGTATGTTATTAACACGTTATATGGTTAGATAATTTAAAAGGTAGTTTGAGATAAAACATATCTATTTCGTGAATAAATCTATCTATATATACTTACTAGCTGTGCCAGCGACTTCGTCCGCGAGAATTCTTATATAGGGCATCCGAATTCGTTTTTGCAAACCCCTTCATCTTTATAAACTTAAGCTGTTAACTTAAACCCACGACGTCTTAAAAGATAGACATATAGCGTCGCGGACTTTTTTTAGGTCATTTAAAGAGAAATCATTCTTTCTTACATATTTTATAGGTATCTTGAATCGATTTTGCAGCGTACGTCTCGGAAACCCATAATGATGAATTATTTTTCCAATTTTTTTTCACATTTCTCGTTTGTATTAGTCACAGGGCGACGTTAATATAGTAAAGATAGATTAAATCGAGTAAAATTCTTTTTGTGTCGCTTAGAGTATTTATCGAGGAAGGATCTAGGCCAGTGATGGGCAAAGTACGGCCCGCCGAAGATCCATCGACAGGGATAAAATATGGCCCGTTATAATTACGATTTGACGGTCGAGAAGAAAAAGTAGATTCGACTTAGTTACTAAGTAGAATCTACACAGAATTTGAAACTAGGTTTAAAGATTTTAAGAACATTTAATCATCGCTAGATGTTTTCTTGATGCCGTTTAATGTAGATCCGGAAAATGTATTCGCTGTATTGCAGTTGGAAATTATTGAAATGCAGTGCAGTATTCATTTAAAGCAATTGTTCTTGAATTCCATAAAACTAGTTTTTTTATAGAGGACTACAGAAAGATGAATTCCCAAAGATCATTGCTCATGCCCAGAAAATATAGCGATATAAATATGGCGATGTTTGCGTCGTCTTATTTATGCACACAGAGTTTTTCAACCATGAAATTGCGGAAAAATTCCATCATAAACAAATTGACTGATCAACACCTTTTCGCACTGCTGAAAGACTCTTCGTCACAGCTTGAACCTGCTTTCAAAAATATTATTGAAAATCAAAAACAATTCTATATGTCTCACACGCCTAACAAGGCAGAATCTTTGAATATAAGTTAAATTTAATATTATTAAGGGTAAAAGGTATTTTGTAAGATTTGTGTGTAATGTTTTTATAATATTATGATTTAAACCTTTAACGCAAAATGCGTTTTTTATATAATTCTGGCCCTCCTCTAGAATTTCTACAACTTTGTGGCCCGCCATTAAAAAAGTTTGCCCACCACTGATCTAGGCTATAAAAGATTGTGATAAATAGGAGCGATGAAACAGCGGGAAATGTGGGAAAAAACGGGGACAGTTACTCAATTTTGTGAGTTTCCAATGCGTACACTGCGAATACGGTTTGAGATACCCAAAAAAAATATGACGAAAAAAACAATTGTTTCTATAAATTATCTAAAAAAATGTCCTGGGCATTATCTCTATCTTCAAAGATGAACTTGCAAGAACGACGGCGGCGGACGAAGTCGCTGACACAACTAGTTAATCATAAATACCCATACATAATAATAATTGCCCATTTGGTTAATAGTGTGATTATAATCATCGATATATTACCTGTGCATGCCAATAGTGTCAGCTTTCAATGTTTAAAGGCTTAATGTTAAGGCTTTGATTAATCCTCGGTTTCGGATTCCGTGGACACATAATAATTACGGTTGGGCAGAGAATAGAAATTAACTATTGTCGTTAAAATAGATTTCGTATATAAGACGGACCAGTAAATCTGTCTGCCCCATAACCTATATTTTTGACGGCTATATTATATTGTTAATAATCAACGAGACGTGGGTCGATCCCCACCGTGTCCAACATGTGTCTAATCATTTTATAATTTTTCTGAAACATGTTGGATATCGTCTGGAAATCTGGATTTTAAATTTGTGGTAGCGACATCGAAATTCCATCCAACTTACGAACTATACGGGTGAAAAAGCCGTCAATGTTAAAATTTGGTTATAGTCTGTGGGTTTCCGTATTGCTGAAAATAAGTCGACATCGCATCTTGCTTAGGATGTTATATGGCTGGAATACTTCTACTATCAAGTGGTTCACTTAGTTTCAAGTTTCCCAGCCATCTATCTGTCCTCTTTTATAATAAATAAAGCGAAGGTAACTTATTCACTATTAGCGAAAGGACAAGTCTCTCTGCCGAGTGTATTTTGTTTTATTCTGAAATAAAGTAACCGGTCTTTATATCAACACAGAGGGAGACTAAAAAGGACTTATTTCAGGTTTAGTTATGGTGTTCGACAACTTCAGAGCTCTTCACGGCAGGACTGAATTTACTGGAATGCGAGTGATAGCTGGCAGTTACGTGGCGAGAACTGATTGGTTAGACAGAGCGCGCACGTTGAAATTGATCAAATGATACATTTACCAGCAATGACAACTCCGGAAGCATAATTCGAAATTTAATTTACAATAAAAAAAGAAATCTTAATGCGTGAGTGATAAGGTTGAAATTACATTGCTAAAAGAAGCGTTTATTATATTGTGGAATTACATTAATACAATTAGTAAGTGGTTTTTTCCTTCTTCTGTTATACAGGGTGTTAATGGAACAGTTTTGAAAACTTATAAGGGCATATATTAGGGGCTAAACGGTGTAATATGGTGCTATTTATTTTCATTTATTTCAAGATTTTTTTCAAAGTTTAAAATACGAGTATGAAATGTACAGCGTTCAGCCAAGAAGCATTATGACCTACACACCCGCAAAACGTTACGTGAACAGCTGATCAATTTAAGTAGGTTAGGTATTTTTTATTTCATGTTAGCGTATAGTTGTAATATTCGAAAAAAGTATTTAGTATACTTTTAATACAACTTCAAATAAATAAGAAAGACAAAACCACCATAGCAAAACCGCAATTAAAACTGCATAACTTAGACGGCCAGCAGACGAGAGGTCCCTACCTTCTCCAGTTAATTCTCAACACCTCTTTCGCATTACCAAAAGTAAACCTAAATAAATTAACATAATGAGATACTCACGTGCTGGTTACAAATTCGACGCAAGCATTTTAAATAAAACTAACACACCACGAAATCCATAAAAAACAACTAAAAAGTAAATAAAAACAATTTAGAGAAATGAAAGAACAAAACTAACTAAGACACTAAACTAAACGAGATAATTACGAGTTCCTAAAATTGCAGGAACGTGATGACGCAAGAAATGTTTACCGGCAACTAAACAAAATTTAAAAAGTAGTAGAATAGGTATAACAAAACGGCAACACTACGCTTCGTTTAATTTTAGCCGCCGTACGCGCCGAAACGCTAGCTCGGTAAATTCCGACAAAGAGTGTCTAGTCCACGCCCCCTCACCTGATATAGTCGAAAAGCGTGTCGGCATCCTTTTTTAATATTGTATTATTTTTAGTTGCGAATATTAACTTGACCTTGATGCACGTCGTCACTCGTCTTAAGGGTTTACGTATGTTTAAGTGATTGATTGTAAATTCTACAGATAAGTTATTCTTAGGTGGATGTGTAGTGTCTCATAGTTAATAATTACTGCAAGTGTATAACGATACATACATACGAGTCCGGTACATTTTGCTGTGATCACGACATCAGTTATTCAGTATTCAATATCTTTATCTTTCACGTAAGTAAATAGTTTTAACATAATAAAATGATCTAAATGTAATTTTTTTGTTAAGTTGCTAATTTATTTGCTGTATTTTATGTTATTGTACGTATGACATGTAGGTTTTGTTTTTTTATCGTCTTGAGTACTTCGAACAAACGCAAAACAATTTGTATCAGTGTCCACTTTTTACCACAAGATAGGTACAATAAACGTAAAAACGATTCATCTATTAATACGACTATTTACAAAACGTATTGCAATATGCTTCAGGGCTGTACGCTGTACATTTTATACTCGTATTAAAAACTTTGAAAAAAATCTGGAAATAAATGAAAATGAATAGCACCATAAAACACCTTTTAGCCCCTAATATATGGCCTCATAGGGTTTCAGAACTGTTCCATTTACACCCTGTATATAAGCTCTCGAGTGAAATACTTTAAAAATATATTTATAGCATAAAAATTCTTTAAAATTTAAAAATTATCTTATCCCTGAAAAAGATCTTTCTAGTTAACACGTTGGACGTAAGACTGGGTCTTTAACATCCTGTCGCCAGTACCAGAAAACTTAGGTCTGTCGTTCCATCTGAATAAATATAAGGTATAGTTTATTTAATTTAAATTAATACTAAGATTTAAACCTTGTACCACTCTGGATCGATTTTAGTCGCTCAGCTTTTTAAGATGACCAAAAATGTGACTCCTAACGTTTAAATTCTCGTCTTGAGAACATCACTGTTAGGCATGACTAAGTGAACGTTCGGTTTAGTGGAAATTATTTAGGCTACATCTTAGAACATCATCATAATGATACGCTTTGATGATATTGTTGCTAATGTTTGTGGCGCATAGACGATTCACAAATTAACATAGAAATCGTGTTACCCTTGTTTTATCGTAAATTGTTACGTCGATTTTCCTCAACCTCAAAGAGTGCTTTTATGGACACAATATATTCTCCCAAATTTGATTACACCAAAATGTTTGTGGAGATTCATTCTTTTATTGTCGGTCTTTGTTGGTGTTCTAGAGATTTCTTTGTGTTGAGATTTTTTATTCTTGTAAAAATGTCTGAACTTTAAGGCTGAGTCAAAGAGTCTTTGTAATGAAGTTAGTGACGGCTTTGACTCTTTTAAAATAGTGCTACTGAGCAGATAATATAAATAAATTGATATTTTATTAATACATGCAAATGCCGTCAAACAAATATTACTTTTAATTCTGCATTAAACTCAGAATATTATTGCAATAAAAGTCAAACAAAAACCAATTTCGATCAAATTGTATTTTGCAAAGAAAATAAGCGCGGGAGTCGTTGAATTTTTCCAGAGCTTTGATGTTTTTAAATGACAAAACGAACACCGAAGTTATAGATGATTGACATTCATGTTAGTGTCTGATATTTTTTGTTAATTTTAAAAAGAGTTTTTCGCCTAAACTGCTCGGCTGTTTTTAATAAAATCGAGCAAATATTCTCCGAACCTATATGTCTCGTACCGGTTAGTCTAATAATATAATACAGATAACATAAAATATGTTATGAATAAGATGACGCTTTAGAATATCTGAACTATTCATATATGTATAATATTATTTTTACACTAACTAAATAACAAGCCTCGGTTTGACGCTCTTGTCACTATTAGGTAAATTGTAGGTTACTACAGTTAAATATTTCTCAAAGAAAAACACTATTTAGAAAACAAAATACTTTACTTACAATACTTAAGTTCATATTTACAAACAACGCAATTAATTACATATTTTAAAATCTTATTGAAGACTCGGTCCTTATAGTACGTTATAGTTTTTGTCTTTAGTTTTCGATAACTACATGAAGAAACAAGTCTAAGCGAACTTTGAGTAGGAAAATATAATACCAATAAATAGAAAATGTGATTATAGAATCATATCTAAGACAGTAACGTATATTAATTTTCAAAGAATTAAAACTCAAAAATACGTTAATAATCTCAGTATTTAACAATTTTAAAATTAGTGTCACAGCTAAAAAGGATATAGATAATAAAATAAATTAACAAAAGAATGTACATCTTTGGTTTTAAGTACGAATCTGTCAAATGCATGTGGCTAATAAGAAATGCGTGTTTTTTCCACAAGATGGCGCGCACTTGACTTTGTAGCACAATGTGACAATTTTAATATTGAAAATTTATTTTAACTACTTTTAACAACTCAGCCAATATTAACAGCTGAGTTATTACACAATCTTCGTTCTTAATGTCTTCACAGGAACTTATTTATGGTATAGAATTAAAGTTCACTCAACTACAATATATTTGAAGTATATTTATTGTGCACTACATCATATTCTCTCGCAGGAACTTCTCGAGGCCGTGATATAAATGCTGTCTTACACCACGTAGACCGTGGTCTTCGTCCGCGTAGCTCTGAAAATAAATAACATGGAATATTATTTTTATATTTGTCTCTTTCACTTATAAACTAACTTGTTGTCTACAACTTTTACATACTTATCTTCGTAGGTGTATTTTATTTAACTAAATATTATCCCCCGTGACCACGGCTATTGCAAAACATTCAAGTGTCGCCCTAAATTATATAAAGAATGGATTTTATAAATATCGAAATTTATCTAATATGTTAATTTTATTCGGTAGTCTAATAGAAAAATTATTAATACTATATGGTTTTATCGTTGAATACTTGAAATTCTAATATTTTTATAGTCAGAAGTAAACTAAAGCAGAGGCGTCAAACTCAAGTCAAAGTATTTACAGACATGTCGTACACTTTTATATTAATTAATTGTAACTTGTTTAAGACTTTTTGCAAAGCTACTTTGTTTATCAAGCTGCTTGCGAGTGCGCGACTAACGGTAGACGAAAAAAATGAGTCTTTCAAGAATTAGGATCTTGTGACGAAAAATTGTATTCCATACATCCATATAAACAAACTTTTAAGACATTCGTTTATAAATAAAAAAAAAAACATTTTATTAATAGACGGCCAGCTAGTGAAATCATTAGTTACTCACCATCTGCTGGAAGTAAACATCTCTTCTTTGCAGCAAGCGAGAGAAGAGCATAGCGTGTTGGTAATGGACGTTGTCATCTTCTGTTCCGTGGACTAACAAATAGCGCTTACTACGGTATGCTTCCACCTAAAAAAAACATGAATTAATCAAATTTACAATAGATTGAAAAAAAATAGACACAAGTGGGACTGGAACCGGCATCCGACTTGAATTAATTACACAATTCCTTCTACAACCTTTAATTTTTGGATAGGAGGATCTAAATAAATATTTTATTTTTTTCTTTTCTTACATGAATTTAAATATTTAAGTTACAGACTTTTTGACTTGTTGCAAAAGGAAGTACAATTCAAGTGCCTCATTACTAAACATTTTTATTGTATGTATATATATAGTTGAAAACAGCGCCATCTATGGGCCTGTATTGAACTCCATTCTTGTTTTGTTTGATAGTAAATTCTAGTTTGATTTTTTTAAAATATAATTGAAAACAGTGTCATCTATATTTGGTCGTTGGTAACTTACCACAGATTCCGTGAGTAGCGAGGAGTCCAAATATCCCTGTGGGTTTGCTTGTGGAGTGTCCATGTATCTCTCCGTGTAGATGGTGTCTGTAAGCAAAGTCTCTCGTTAATCTCAAGTCATTAATCATCATTATTATTTGTTTTAGTATTTGTTTTCTTTGTTCACATAAATTACAGATAAATTATGATGCTTCGTAAACTAAACTAAAAACGTTAGAATTTAAACTCTATTAACAATATAAGTACTAATAAATATCAAAGCGTCAAATTAGGTATGTCTGTAGTTTACGTACATATTTTACATTTAAACAAAACACGTTTAACGGTTTAAAACGCGAAATATATCTATATGCTAACCCGTGACTACAAAACATAGTATTCGAGAGGTCAGGCCTTGGTTTAAATAATTTATAAATAAGTTAACTAATAAATATCACGTTTAAATTGTTAAAAGCGTCTTAATCATTTCTCAATTAAAGATCATTTGTTACTATTTGATGAAAAAGTTTAACTGCAGCCACAATTTAATACAATGCATGGTTGTACACTGTACAGTCCTATCTGTCCTTAATGGGTACTGGACTGGATTCTGCTTAAAGGCATGGCTTTTAAATAAAACAGTAACAGCATTACAGAACTGACCAACGGTGTCATCGGGTTTGTCGGTATGCTGTTTTTTGGAAACCTAGAACACTGTTAGTCAATTCTGAAAGGAACCAGCCTGTTTCGCCTAATACTGACTACGACGGGACAGTTGGCGCTAGGGTAGAAATTTTTACTTTGACATTAGGAATACCCTCCCTCTCTAGTCTCCCCGTCATCACGGCTGCTGCAAAGCGTCCGAAACATCGGGCCGTCATTAAAATAATTTGTAAATAAGATTAACTAAATGTATTAGTTGCGCGTTTTAAACCGTTGTATTATTTATATGTGAAACGAGTAGTACACTCGCGTTAACTACAAATAGTACTTATACTATGCCTTATAAGCTTTTATAATGTACAAAGGCTAGGTGCACCATAATGTTATAAATCATGATCAACATTTACCATAGAATCTCCAGTCCACGACAGGTGCTACAGCAATCGCACATCTGAACACGTCTCCTCCGCGGGCCAAGGCGAGGGACGAAGCATAGCCTCCGTAAGACCAGCCCCAAATACAAGTGCGGTTGCGGTCAATCCAAGGCAGCCTGTCTTGCAGGAATCTGAAGTAATAGAAGGAATTTATGTAGACGTTAGATAAAAAAACTCAACAGATCTCATTGATCAAATGTGATTATTTCAGTAAGGAAAGGAGTACCAGAATGTTGCAAGGACTGCGTACCTGCCAGTCAGAAACCAGCTTCAAAGCGAGGTGAAAGTTGCCACTTTTTTGTATGCCTACAAACATTGAGTATACTTGATGGTAGATGAAAATGTCTTTAACCAATGTCGTTTGGTGAAAGATGTGCTGCCAATCTATATTATACTGAATTTAAACATCTACGATAAATCTAAACATTTCCACCAGCTGATCTGGTTTGCAACCTTTCTAATACTCAGATTTTCCAGAGACCACCGGTGGAAATCTAATACATGACCGTGAGCTTCTTAGCCACACCATGCCACCAAGTCTGTCAAGAGTAAAATAATAATGTCTTACTTAGTAACAGTTATCTGGTCTTCAATCTCCAAGGTGCCTAATTTCCTGTTAACAGCAAACATATTCTCGACTCCCTGCAATCCAGAGCCTCTACCATCAATACGAGCTACAGCTATGCCATATCGGCTGACTAGAGAAGTTCCCCAATCTACGTTCCATTGCTGAGTGACTTGTGCTGTATCAGGACCAGCGTATCTGAAGAAATGTTTTAGGATAAATAATTTTAATCAAATGTAATGGCCACAGTCTACTCTTAATCTAATGATGAAATTTATATTCTTTTTTTCAAGTTGTATTTGTTTCAAAATAAATAAAAAAGTATTGTAGTCTAGCGGGGTACAGCTGTTTGATCATCTATCTTCACCTGTTTTGTGAGCAAGATACCGAAAACAAACTCTATCCATTTCGACCTTATATCCTATAAGAATACTTTTATTAGTATACTTACACATAAACCAATAACGGGGTATTAGTTCTACTTAAATAGTCTCTCGGTGCCTGAATATGTACTTTAGCATCGCCAAGATTTAGTCCCAAGGAGACAGAATCTATAAAAGTAACCGGCAAAGAAACAGAGGTAGTCAAATTGGCTAGTCCTCCATTCTCTTCCCAAACTCTTAATAGGCTTCCGTTCTGAAAATCATTGTATAAAGGTTTAAAATAAAGAAAATGGATTTTAATACCTCTATTTAAAACATGATGCCTTTATAAAAACACCTGACAGAATAGATAAAGTAGATAATTAACTGAAAGGTACTATCTCTATCGTTTACCATCGTATAAAAAATAAAAAAAGGCTAACCGAGTCATAGATAAAGACTTGTGGAACATTAGGTCCAGCGCAATTCACAGTGATACGAGATGCATCCTCGTTAGTAACAGCTTCGTTGTAGAGACATCTTCCACCATCTGGTCTAACGATGTCACAAGTGAAGCAGGTCACAGTACCGGTTCCGTTCACGCTGTAAACGTGCTGTTGACTGCTGTCTGTCACGCTAGTTGCGGTGTACCAGCTGTAAAAAACGAAAGGATTGAGCTGGGTTTCTTGATGTTCACAATTAAAAGAGCTATAGAAGAATTAGAAGCCATGAACTATTTGCGCCGTCTCTTAAATAAAACGTTACAAAAAAGTGAAGTCCCGCATCTCAGAAGCATGTAAACCTCCTTTATCTTACGACTTCTATCTCGTCGGAAACTACTCCGCTTATCCCGGATTCAACCCATATATTAGATCGAACTGGTAGTAAACTTTAAATTTAGACTCTTCAGTTTTTAACTGACGTGACGTTTATAAGTGTATCTAATTTCCTACCTGACTAACTTTTTGACTTTGCCTTGACTATTGGATGATTTCATTATGCGGTACTTTGTTGTTTTCGAAACATACCAAAACGACTACATACACACTTACATAACATTGTCGTCCGTCCATTTCATGATATCAAGGACGGTATGTGCCGTGTTGGATCTTCCTGTCAACGCCCATGTAGCCGCTGGAGTCGCACCCTGTGTTACTTGAACTACTTGTTTGTACAATCTGTTGTTTACCGCCTGCAATACGATTAATTGTTTATATATTCATTTGTTTTGAAGATCCTTTAGTTCCGTATGTACCTCTCTTTGTGAGTAAACATTAATTACTTTCGAAAAACCATATTCAAATGTGCTAACGACTATTACCACCAGAATGGATATCTGCTTCTTTAAAAAAAACACCAAAGTAAAATCAGAACCCAGATCATTAGCCTGACTCTGAATCCGATCACTGGACAAAATATTCTGCCGATAAGTGAGAATTATTGATTAGTTGTTGTTATAGATCGAATAAAATACTTACGAATGGCAAAATCGTTATAAAAGCGTTTCCTTCTTGATTGAAAATAAAAGGAATGTTGTCGATCCAACCATTTTCTTGAGTGTAACTGTAGATCTAGAATATAAAAATGGCTTCTTTATTAAAATCATAGTATCGTCTCGTTCATTTTTAAACTTCCACACTAAAACTGGTTTCAAATTCCAACATCCCTTATGACTATAAATTTTTAAAAGGTCAAAATAGTGTATTTGTCGGTTTAATTATAGTTTATATACAGTTTTAGTAGAATTTATAACCCAGTATAGTTTTCTAATAGAATTACATTATTTTGTATAGAATTCCCGTTTTACCTGTATAAGGCGTGAGATGGACTGTTCTGTCTGTTTGTTCTGCAGTAATTAGTAGTTTATTAAAACGAAATAGTTTACTTCCTCGATTTCGAACTCAGACCTACACGAGCAATGTAAGGCAACCCGGCAATGCATTTAATAATTGAACCATTTACATAATCCATAGGAGGCATTCATAAAAACACATCAATACAACTGTAGATTGTCTACAGAGACATTATGTACCTACCCTTCTACAAGTTGCTGTACCCTGTGTACAAAGTTCTACAGTAAGTTGAGTTTGCACTCTGTTCGTCCACATCAGGGCTATTGTGTTTTGGTTTACGAAAGTTACCGTCTTGAGAATTGGCCTGAAAATAATTTTAGATAAAAAAATATTATTGTAAAACTTCATTTAAAAGAAATATATAAGAGTAAAAATTATTACCCACTCCTGATTTCGTTGTTTTAAAAATGTGGAGAAGTAGTATTAATTATAATAATAATAAAAGTTAACAAATTTAAAAGGGAGGGGAGAAATAATCATCTTTATCTTAATAGCTTGTTGTGCGATACGTAAAAGAGCTTCTTATTACTGTTTACAAAGAAGCTAATCTGATATGTTATAGAAGTGGATATTAAATGATGGCTCTCGAAAGTATGTTGTCTTGAATATTATTTATTTTAACAGTTAAAGAAAATAACAATAATAACTCAAGAAACTAATGTAATGGTAAAAATACTTACTGATTCAAATCACTAGGTGCGTTATAAACATTCTGAGCTCCTCCTTCCAATTGTCTTATAGTTACCGATACAGTGGGGTTTGTCGTGCCAGACTGAAAAAAAAATCCATAAAAGATTGTGGCTACATATACGGCGTACCTTTAATTACTGGAATAAGTGAGAGGATCCGGAAGTTTCGGAGATAGTTGTTTTTTAAAGATGTAGACAACCGATTTGTGCCTCTGGCGACCAAAACATTAGTTTTTATTTCCCCAAGATTCAACAGCGAGGCCCTCAAAAAGTATATTATCATTTAAAAAAAAATCATCATATCAATATTTACGAGGAATTTTGGCCAAACTATAAATTTCAGAAAAAAGCACAAAACGTGTTAACTCGAACATTACTTTCCTTTGTTAGATGAATCAATTTTGCCCCGCTAGGGATATCCTTTTATTTAATTTCCCTGGAGGAACCCGGATTTAAGAGGACAATCACAAAACATTTTGGGAGAATAAGCGAAGCTTTATAACAGAAAGTCGGGATAAGGCTTGTATTTCAGACTACTTGAGTTGACAAATTTAGTTTTAGTCTAAGTAAATAAAAAATCTCTAATCTAGATACACACAGCGATAGTAAAAGTCTTCAAAAACACGTTTATTTTTAATTTATTAACAAACTATAACCTAATGCTTGTCTGTCGTTCTTTATAAACACGATATTTCTCATGAGTGTAAACAATGTTTCCAAAATAATAAGTCGTACGAACTGTTATATATATTTTAAAATTAGAAGAGTCACCTACATCTTATACTTTCTTGACTATATCCCACAAATTTTTCTTCTGTTAACTTATTGCGACTAGGTTAAATTAGAACCATATTAGTAACGGTTCAATATAAGACAATAAAAAGGTAGACGACAATAGAAATTATATCGAAGCAGCAAACAAACAAAAATATAAAGGAATTCTTCGACCGGAAACGGTAAAACATTTACGTACGCTCCATTGGGCTTGTATCGACGGCAATATCTTATTTCTTATAACAATTATTGTCTTTAGGAGCGTACAGTACTTTTATCACTGATTAAGGCCTTATTGTTAATTTGTAAAGATTGCTTTTTATCTTTATAAAAGGTATGAAATGCGAAAATCCTATAGATCGGGAATTGGGCCTAACTAAAGTTTTTTTTTTAATTATTAAAATAGAATTTTTGACATTTTTTTTAATGCAGAAGAACCCAATTGTCTTAAGTTTTATCATTTTATTCTTTAATGTCTAATGTAATAGTGCTAGAAACCTTTTAAATAAAATACTTTTAACTGTTTAAAATTCGAAATATACAAGTTAACTGCAGCCGTAGTCGCAGCGCAAACAGACATGATTGTGATGCGATTACGGCTGCACTGTGAAGCAACAGAAAACTGAGGCCATATTTTAATTATATTTAAAATATTTTAACAAATACATTTAGCGTTTTAAACCGTTAAAGTGTTTTATTTATTTATCTACTACTTAATAAGAGTAACCTGTAATTTTGTAATATAATAGGTCAAATACACGTATTTTTTTCTAATATTATATTACATGTAATCGTCTTTAATTAAATTTATTATGTGTGTTATCCTATTATTATTGTTATCTTTTACGTCACATTTCAATAAAACAGTTGTCGGCCTTGTTAGACATGATAAAGATTACGTATCGGCAAGCGGTTTTGATTATCGTACAAGTTTTCTCAAAAGGAACGAAATCTTTTCTTTAAGTTTATTTTATAAATAAAATATCTTAAGATATAATAGTGTCTGTAAAAGACAAATTATCTATGGAATCTGAAACATAACTCTAACTAGATTTGTACTCTATAATTATATTAAGCGACGCCTTTATACTCTAAAGTTAGTGTTTGCAAAATTAGACAGGATAGTTTACAAGTTGAATGGATTTGCTTTAATCCTATTACGAGTAGGTACTACGTTATTAGGAAGCTGCGAAGCGAACTTTGAAGCTTATATTATATAGAAAATTGTACGTTATAAGGAATTTTACAATATTAAATAGTAATGAAGTAAGTTTACGTTACGTTAGTTTACGTTTAGTAGAATATATTTCAATAAAACCCTCCGTGACCACGGCTGATGAAAAGCACCCGAAACGTTGGGCCGTAGTTAAAATAAATTAAATTGTAAATCAGTAATAAATTATATTTCGCGTTTTAAACATTTACAAGTGTTTTATTTAAATAGCATCTATTTCTTGCGTACAACACTTAATTGTAAATTAGTTAATACATTTCGCGGTAAAAACCGTTAAAATTGTTTGATATGAAGTATAAAAAAAATTTAATACCTAAAATAAATTTGAAATATTCCGACTATAATTTCCTTCTACATACCTTATTTCATCTGTATGTGTATGTAATAAGATATTTTATTAAGGTAAATTTAAAATAATGATCGCAAATTTTTTAGAAATCCATTTCTGTTAACAATTGAACATACTTACACACAGATCCATACCCGAACACAGTATTTTTTAAATAAATTTTCTCATTAAGAACTACAATAAGTAATTTTTTCCTATTGTCATATTGCCTGTTTATCTGTCTGTTGGCTAGGCTCGGCTTTTAACGGACACAGAAATGTGTTCGCCCAATGCCCCACGAGGGGGAAACGGGCTTTCACTTTCTTTTTATCTGTCTTTATTTTTTAATAGATTAATTTATACGCTTCCTTTTAAAGTTTGCGTATTCTGTTTTATTATTTATTCAAACACACCATACCTTAGGGTAACGTATGCTTCGGTGGGTTGTATATTGATATTCAGCAGACCCAGGTACACCATAGGTCGGTATTTTCATCTCTCTAACGTTGCTATCGTCAAACGTTGCGTAAGCCAATCTGCTGCCGTCATTTGAAAACCAGAGTGCGTTGTTTGATGAGAATACTTCCTCTGTGGACAATCAACACTATTAAAATAGGACAAGCAATTATCATTTAGGTTGTGTGGTTTCGTTTTTAAGTATAATCCGTACTTTACGCGAGTAGACATTTAAATAAAACAGTTTTGATGGCTTATAACGCGAAATATACTAGTTGACCGATGTTAATTTTTAACGTCGCCAATCGAGTCATAGTTAAATTATATTGAAAATAAGTTAAAAAATACATTTCACGTTTTGTACCGTTATAACTGTTTTATTTAAAAGCTTATGGTAGCGTAGGGTAATATCACTTGAACACTATGTTGGCGGTAAGTTACAGAGTGTCTGTATGTTGACGTGGGAGCAATATCGTTCCGTCCGAGGCACAAACTATCGCCCACAGATGGAAAAAAAAAATTTCAAGATGGTTCCGGTTTTAGTCTGTGGGTTTCCGAATGTACAAAACCTAAATAAGTCGACAGCACATATTACTTAGATATTTTTCAGGTATTTCACCTTTTATCCTGTCCTCCTCCGTCATAAAAAAAAATCAATTCAACTGACCTTCGTACACCCAATCCGGGATACCGTTGTAAATGACATTACTCTGACCACTAGAAGTTACTTGTACTGGATCATTTGTCATGTTAGACTGATAGTAAACATTATTCTCATACACAAAGGCAAAGCCTGTGCCCGATGGCGCCCATTTGAAATTTTGCAGGTTTGCATTCGCTTCAGAGACATCTGGCGGCGTAATTCGGTACTCATCGCCCGATCGAGTATCTATGACGACGTATTGGGCTGTAAAACTATGTCTGTACACCTGAAAAAGTCATATCTTATATTTGTATACAATGACAGACACGCAGTCTTTCAATAGACTACGTGTCTATTGTTCAATATCTCGTTATTCTACTTTTTATCTAATACCAACTGTTTTATTTTCTATTCTGATATTGATATTAAACTCTCTTAACTTCATCACCGCATACAAAGAATAGTTTAAGTTCTAAACAACGACCACCATTACAAATTAGGAAATGGCGGACGTTTTTAGTGTTTCTCATTCGACATGGTCATAATATCGTGTCTGTGCATACATAGAAGTTAAAATTGTTGGAATATTTTAAATAATCATGCAAATCAAATTTTTTTTTAAAATCGAATATTATACAGTATTAAAAATAACTTGTATGTAGGCACATTGTTTAAAACATGTTTGGTATGCATTTTTTATAATGAAGTTAGCGGTTTAAAATAACGTTATCCGTTACATATTTTCAACATTAAATCTAATAATTAATACACATAAGCTGTGTTAAACTCATCACCCTACGTTAGATAAAGTATAAGAACGAATTGAGGCGATGTTGGGTTGTTAATTGTATATTAAATTTCACGTTAATTTGTTAATTAAGAAATTCTTATTTGTAAGAAATATCTCCAAATAATCAAAGTACTCCAATCAAATTATCGTCATAATTAAAAGTAAGTGGCTACAAAAACCAGAAGCTCAAATCCATCCTTTGACGCTCATAATATCAAAATATAAAGAGTATTAAACGTAACAACGTTTTCCTAAAGCTCTATAAAGAGAAACGTGATCCTAAATAATGTTCAATTTTCCCTTTAAAGCTTTGGCTTTAGCACTCTGTTTGGAAGATGCAAATAATTATTATGTTTTTCTTGATAGAATTTTTAAACAACTACAAACATTTTTATGAAAATAGAAAGGAGATCACTAACTTATTGTCATTGTATGTGAAAGATGAACAGAGTATTGCAGACTGTTACGGAGTGTAAAAATATCAAATTAAGATTTTTAAATTTGGAGTTGTACGTGTTTTGTTAGCCTAATACAATTGTGGAGAAAAAGTAACAGAGGTGTAACATTTTTAGCATTAGAGATGAAGCATAGGATAGACATATTATTGCGTCTGTTTAACTAATCGAAAATAGAGCATTCATCATTTTATGCCCCACCGAATCGTATTTGTTTTCTAACAATTCGATTCTACGACTAACTTGCACTATGCACTGCATTTGAACAAGATGTTAGAGGTGTTTGACATGCGACTGGTCTTTTAACCCATAGCGAGTCATTATCACTGAATGGAAAGCATTAATCTATAGTACTTACCGCTGATTCACTAAAAGATAGCGCAATATATCTGTTATCTGAAGATATCTCATTAACTCGGTAAGATGTAAGTAAATACTGAAAAAAAGATGTGCGTTATTATGTATGTTCGTTTGAGCAGGATATGCATGTATTAAATAACAATAATTCAACGTTCAACAAAGAGTCGTTGTTATCTTAGCCCAAATAAGTCGACAGCACATTTAGTTTAGTATTATTTAATTTAAATATTGAAAAAATGTTTCAAATCCGGTCCGAGTCGAACATTTTATTTTTCATACTACTCGCGTTAACTATAGGCAGTATTCAGTTCACTAATGTTTTTCGCGTTTTAAACCGTTAATGTGTACTCGCGTAAACTACAGACAGTACAGTTCCTATTTTTTAATGTACATAATTATATATATTAAATATAATAAAGATGTTCGTTAATATATTTACCTGTGAAGTGTTAGCTACAACGATGAAAGTGTCGTCATCATCTACGTTATATCTAACAAGGTGACCGTCTCCATTGCGGAATAAAACTTCGTTACCTTCAACAATACATAATTATTTAGAGCAAATCACATCAGGTTAAACTAATTTATCAATAAACCAAGTAATTGTTTTCCTTATTGGTATTTTTTGCTATGGCGAAGACGGTTCGTAATAAATGTGTGTATATATTCCACTCTACCTCTGATCAATTCATCAATGTAATGATTTTTATGAATAAGGTGCGAATTCATTTATAATGATCGATATATATTTTTGTTAGTTTTAGTGACAAGTGATCTCTTCTATCGATGTATTCCTAGACTTATATCAAATAGACCTGGATTCAGGGTCTCTACGGTGTCGTCATCTAAATGATAACTTAAAAAAAACTACAATCACTACTTTACATTTATATCAGGATTTAAACTACGATATTGCTGAGACAACCATGAACCAACATAGCTATCAACTTATCGTCAGCCCTGATTCGATTACCTCATATCCATAATGCCCCAGAAAATGATTCAAAATAAATAAAATTTAAATAAATAGATGCTAGAATTAATGAAACTACTTCCGTTACAGACTACCTATTATCTACATATAGAAAAGCCATAAGTTATTACATTTTAGATTGTGGTTTGCTGAATGTTAAAGCCCAAATAGATCAACATCTTGTTTACTAACTTCTAAATCACCTTTCATCAAGTGAGGCCGACCTTCGCTCTTAAATACATGTTATCATCTTTCTTATTCTAAAATATTTTTTAAATTAATTACTCCTGTCAATCATGTTGATTAGAAACAGTTATAACTAACCAGAAGTCCACGTTCCATTGAAGTAAGTAGGAGAGTATTCGCCGTTAAGTATATCCGCCAAATCGATATCATCAGGCGTTGGTGGAGGTGATGGTGAAGGTTCCGGTGAGGGAGTGGTCGTTGTTGTTGAGGTCGATGATGATGTTGAATCCGTTGGCGATGTTGGACTCACCGATGTTGGTGGCTGAAAAAAGTTTATTCTCTTACTATACGGATGAGTTAACAAAGACGGGCTCTTTGGTGTTATGGTGCATTGTATCACTAATAACCAACGGGACGTAGATCTGATCCCCACCATGTCCAAGGTATAATTTTTTGAAGCTTCGTCTTCAAATTGATTTATCATTCCGGTTTCAGTCTGTGAATTTCCGAATTAAGAGCCAAAATAGTTCGACAGCACGTCTTGTTAAGATGTTATTACTGAGATATTTCATCTTCCATCAAGTGAACTCAAAGTTTGTGTGTCCTCTATCATAAAAAAAATCTTATAGCTACTTGTGAAAAGTTTCACCATGACGACTAAATGGCATCATCAGACTACGACTCGACTAAGCGAAGATTAAGTCAGTCATTCAGTTTTTAATTTTTAAATAGCCGTGAAAGCTTTTATAGACATTTAAACATATTTAAGAACAAATTTATTACAGTACCTACAGTCCCTCGCGCGAGTGTTTTGATTTCGAAGAGCGAAGACTCATAATTAATTATTTTGGTCGTATCGGGCACATTAGTCTCATAATTTTTTATATAAAAAAGGAGATACCTAACAAAACAACGATAGTTATAAGGAAGTTATTGTTTTTGGTAAATAATTTTAGGATTAACACTTAAGTATATTTACCAAAGAAGAATTGTATAACATAATGAATAATTAGTCATTACATTATATTATACGTTTATAATGAAGACAAAACAACTGAATCAACAAACGTGTATATAAAGAACATACGCATTTATGTAAATATTGAAAACAAAGTAATGTCACATTTTAATAAGTTTTCATTTGTTTTAGATACGAGCTTCTTGTCGTATGTTGTCGTACATTTATATGTTTTTGTCTAACAGGGTAACGATGAATATTTTTTTTTACTTAAAACTGCGAAGCTAAAATGAAAGACTGTCAAAACCTCATAGAGTCAAATACTTATAATGGCGCGGATAACATAAGTTAATTTAAAATCTAACAGAATTAACACCGTTAATAGATGAATCCCAGTTTAACCCAAAATATGTCAAAAAAGACGTAAAAAAACATATTGTTGAATTGCAGTTACGTTCTCGATTCCAGGAAACTCGATTATTATTAAAACATTGTAGTAATTAATAAAAAAGTTAACTAAAATTTTGTTTTATATAAAAAATATTAAAGTAAGAACTTTACTTTAATTGTAATTGTATAATAACATGAATTCTTCGAGTGCATATTTATTTGTATGGATTTTTTTTTAGATTTTACCTGTGGTGTAGTCGTAGTTTCTGCTCCTCCCACATCGGCGGCAAAAATGACGATAAGCGCTACAACGACGCCAATTGCGGCCACCATTGCGACAAAACCTATGGCATATGCGAACTTCTTGGACTTCTTGGCGGCGACCAGGACCTGTACAAAGTAAATACAATTTGTAAGTTTAAATAAAACACTTTAACTGTTTAAAACTGCAGACAATAGATACAATGTGATCTTAATGGGTCTCTACATTATGGGTTGAATAGGAAATCCTAAAATTCCGTCCGTGAACAAAAAAAAATTATCTATTCCCAATATTGGAAAACGGAATTTCTTGCTTACGTGCGTTTTAAGGAAATCCCTCAAGTATTGAAGTACGGAAGAAATTATTTTGGGACTTGATTTAGATCTATGTGTTAATATATAATATTTTAAATTCAAATAAACTACACGGATTTATCAAAGGTGCGGTGCTCAGTTACTCGTGAGTACGAATCTATACTGTTGATTGCTTAAAAAAGAAATAAGTTTTCAATTTAAATGAAAATACTTTTAACGCTTTAATAAGCGAAACATATTAGTTGTTTTATTTATTTTTTCGAAACATTGAGTAACAAAATAAAAATAAGTTAACTAATGCATTTCGCGTTTTAAACCGTTAAAATCGTTTATCTTAAAAGTATCTCGCGTAAACTACAGAAAAGACTTAAGTTTTCTATTTCTACGAGCTCTCATAAACAAATTTTTTTTTTCTGTTTCTATAATAACCACTTATATACTCACAGGGATAATACACTACTAATGTCTAATTCACTTCACTCTTTCATGATCTCTGATTACAATATATTTATTTTGCCCGGTACTTCTGTCAATCAGATTTATCATTTATCACTGAAGGTTATCGATCTTTCAATGGATCTTTGGTTTGCTTTGTGACATAACATTAGGTTATTACTATATAGGTATATGTTATCTATCGGATTCGGACGCTCGTTATATTAATTAAAACATAATAATAAACATTAATCTGTTTATTTCTAAGATTACACGACAAGCCAGTCTTTAAAATAATAATAATTATAATATGAATATTATAACATTAATTTAATAAAAAAGTAAAATATCTAAATAAAATTAAATTAAATTCCATATAATCAATTAAATATAAAAAAATAGTACCCGGTAAATATACATTGGTATACATATTATTATTAAAAAATCGAAAATAAATTGAAAAAGGACTCGGTAGCTCAATTGGTAGAGCAACAGCACGGAAAGCTGACGATGCCGGTTCAAGTCCAGCCCGAGTCGAAAATTTTTTCAATTTATTTTCGATTTTTAAATTATATAGTGCCTTCATGTGCAATCACATGTGAAAAATATTAATGTTTTCAAACGATACAAATTATTTTCAAGCAAATTTTATGTGAAATGTTCACTTTTGAAAAATTAAGTGGTGGGGATATCTAACATAATAACTCATAGATCAAGATGACAATGGTGGGTGCAATCAATGGAAAACAATTTTAATGCCACCAAATATAAAATGTCAAAAAAAATGGGGTAGACGTCCCTTATACTTAAGGATATCAAAATAGATCGTAACCTCCTGCCGTTAGTTGAAATTAAGGCCTACTTAATTTGCATATAAAAGTATCATATAAGTGATATTATTTTTATTTACATACCTGATCACTGGTGCCCATTTCCATAGTTGAGCCCTCTTGGGCCATTTGGCCGGCTTCGATTTACCTGAAGATAGAATTAGAGCTAAATAGTTGTAAATTTTAAAACTTTCGTTGTTTAAACTTAATCTTAAAAATGTATAATTAAATCAATGTTAGATTTACTTATAATATTCAATAACAGATGACCTGGTAGCAATATGATCTGTGACTTCCCATTATAAGATTTATACTAATAAATAATAACTCAAAAAGGAATAACATGTTATCTCTCTATGAATTACTATACTTATACATAGCTAAATATTTACGGTTTATAAATAATATAAGGAGGAACTTTGTCTACGTGTTGCAATTTACTGAACTTACGTACACATTTAACTTTCTCTACTATTGTTTGAAAAACAGAATAGCTTTTAACTAAAACTTATTAAAAACAATAAATATTTCCGATCCGTTGACTTAACGGGACTCAAACCTACCCTTAACAGCGTTCTTAGTCCTTACTCTGGCAATTGAGTTATCCAAATACCAATATACAAAGTCAAAATAGATCGACGACGCATTTTATTTAGATTTTATATGACTGGGATATTTCCTTCCATCAAGGAAACCTCAGGCGCGTCTGTCCTCCTCTATAATAATAAAATTCTAATAACGAATTTCTAGATCCGTTAACACTTGCACCTCTAGCAGGCCCAGAATATATATCGGTGACCCAAGAGATTTTGTCATGGATTTTTCATTTTAAATACTTTTCCGACATCAGCACTCATGTGTATTAATATTTGGAAATTTTACAACACAACATATTTTGTTGTAGGAATTAACAAGGCTTAAATTTGTTTTATCAATGATTAATAAAGTATTTATCTAAAAATATAACATTTATTTACTACGGTAATCTAGCGTATTGAAACGTCATTAATATAAGTGTATTCCTATCCTAGAATTTAAATGCTTTAATATCGAGAAGAAAATAACTCTTTGTATTGGAGAAAAGTAGTATGTATAAAATCCTCATTTCTTACGGTAATGATTCTATTCTTTCTATTTTAAAAGTGAAAACTTGTATAGCCGCTAGGTTACTTTTTGCAATGTTGAACTTGCCAAGACTTAATAAGTGAACGAAAATTCACATTCATAAGTACAACCCGATTAAAAAGTAAAGCTTTAAAATTATGTTTAATAAAAATCTACTTGAATTTTCGAATTGTTCGAACGTCGTAATTGAAAAATAGTAGTTTCAAAATGGCCATAGTCAATGAATCAAATCAAATCATAGGTGAATGGAATCTTAAACTTTAACGTCACCTAATTTTTCATAGCTTCACTAGAAATATATACAACATTACCTGAAAGATTTATCTGAAAAAAAAACATGGCCATACTGAAATACTGTCAACGCGACCCCCCGTGACCACGGCTGCTGCAAAGCATCCGAAACGTCGGGCCGAAGTTAAAAATCATTTCCAAATAAGTTTAACTAATACATCGCGTTTTAAACCGTTAAAGTGTTTTATTTAAAGGCCATACTTCTATTCTGAATTGCGGACATAATACAGTTGTAATAATTAAAGATTAAATTAAAGTATTTTATCTTTTATCTAAAGGCGATAAAGTAATGTCATAAAATAATTCGTGATAAATAAACACAATCGTGCATGTAACAACACATTAGGTAATATAATTTCTACAATTTAGCTACAAAATTACTAAGCAGGTTATTTAAATGAAATAGTTATCAGTTTCAATCGCGAATATTAAAAGGACAGCAGCACATAGTGGGGGGATTACTAGTAAGCAAAACTAAGGTCGTAGTTAAATTAAAGTTAATAGACACACTATTTGCGTAAAATTCGAATTTATTCTAAAGTGTATATTTTTCCTCAGTTATTTATTCTGTTTTAACGACTGAACTGTTGTTGTACTAATATTGAAATGGTAACTGGATCTATGTGTTGCTGTAGTATTTATATCGATAACATTTTTCTATGGAAAGTTGAGGCTCAAGTAAACATTTGAATTTTCGATGGATGTACTCACAGATGTTATATATTTTATAATATTGACAGAATTACAGTATAACACGAAACTGAAGGTTTTACGACACAAATAAAACAATTACCGATTTTATCAGCTGTTCGGGATAAGATATTAATTTATTGTAAATTCTTATTTTTCCATAGGATATTACCATAGACACAGTATTATTGACAGATATACATATTATAAATAAATAAATAAATTGTTAACGCTCGTTAAATAATCATTAAAGTTGTGATTTAACAATAATAATTCATAGTGAAATGTTTTAATCCATTCGAACTTCATGTCTTAAAAGAAGACATTATAATGCAATCATTGAACAATGTACACTTGAACGGATTTAAACACATAACTTTAAGGTCAATAAATCAAAATATTTAACACATGCTTACCTCTTAGTATAAATAAAAAACAAAACACAACCACATAACCGGCCTATGGCCGATTTTGAACTCAACTGAGCTAAGACAAATTAGTAAAGATTTAGATAATAATATCTTTATTGCAGATAATAAATTAATAATCGACAAATATCGAAGGTAAAGATAATAATGTTAAATAGGTATTTGCCGAAAAATTCTTGTATATCAGATTACTACGTATGTTATATATAACATAACACTTTTTGTATGTTTGAATCGGTATATTAGTTTTGTGGAGCTCTTTCGTGTGAAAAAACGAATGGGCTTTGAGTTTTAATAACAAGTGTTTTTTGTATATACTAGATATTTATTTCTACTTGCTTTTAGTTTGGTAGCACTGAAAAAGACTCGTATCTTCACTAAGAAAAGGAGAATCATGGTGCATTATGATCATTACAGATGTGGTGTGCATTTGATGGTTGGTGATATACCCCAGCCTATAGAATCATAAGCAAGATGTGCTGTAGGCCTTTTTTTTCTTTGGTTATTCGGAAATCCACAGACTGAAACTGCAACGCGATTAAGCTTCACGGCTCTTTTTATCTGTGAACGGTGGTTCGTAACCCGGACGGATTTCTATATTCCCACCACCCATATAATATCCAAATTTCCAGACGAAGTCGAACAAGCTTTATAAAAATTCTAAATTTAAAAAATTAGAATCATGTTGTACCCGGAAGGATCGAAGCCACTACCCGTTAGCCATACATTGCTTCCATTAGACCAACGAGTCTGTTAGAAGGTGAAATAACCCAGCCATATTACATCTAAACATGATGTGCTGTCGCCCTATTTCTGCTCTGGACGTAAACTTTTATTTTTAATGTTTTGTCTTCAGTTGCATATATAAAAAGCTTTATAACACTTTTTGCTTGAAAGTATTTTTTACGAAATCCTTATTCATCGAATATTTGATCTCGATAGCACAAACTGAACAAAGGTAAGATTATTTGAGTTTTCATTTCCGACGTGAAGCCAGGGGGCATGATTTCCGTCCCTTATTTCAATTTCCGTTCCATGATTTTTCCGTCTCGACCGCCTAAGGTCCTTTAGATAAACAATTATTATTGAAAGACGGTATTATCTATGGATATAAAATGGATAAAGATAATAAATAGAATAATGATTCATAACCAAAGTATTTATATCGAGAAGAATGTTTTCGTAAAAGAAAAAAACAAAGAATAAATGTATGTTATATGTAAAAATAATACACTCGCTTTTGACTCTATTAAACGGAAGCCTAGGAGATTTTCTGGTTACGCCACACAAACAAACAAACAGCTGCGACGCTTTGTTTTCAATAGTCATTACTAGTCAAAGGGGAAATAGACAACAGCTTAATTTTTATCTATTAACGAGTACACAGCACTAAGACAAACACTTGGCGGACGAGTTGGTAGGGCGTTGTCGCGGGTTCGACTACTTGTGCGACATTCAGTGTAAGCACGATAGCACGAAAAAAATCCAGTAGTCGTATTATCCAAGCCGACCACACGTAAAAAAGTAGTAACGTAAATAAATAAACGTAACTTAAGTAAAAAACGTAGTAAACGAAACACTTTAACGGTTTGAAAAATATTTTAACTACGGCCTGACGTTTCAGATGATTCAGTGGCTGCAGTAGCCGTGGTCACCCCGTGCATTTAACGTTGTACTACAGACAGTGTTTAGTAACGTAAAGGTTTATAAGTGAATAAAATTTTTAACGGTTTAAAACGCGAAATAATTTTCCGTGTTCCGTGGTGACATGCAATATAAAGTGTGTCAGACCCAACTCCAAACGATTGTCTTCGTAAGGCGAGTAACTTTCTTCACGACGAAATCTGTGAGTTGAATATGTTAAGAAATCACGTACCGGTTATGTTGTTTGCGCTTCATTTTACATAACAAGGCGTTCATTAGTTCTATCCTTTATTATACGTTACAATTACAAAAAAAAAATAACGAAAACCCATTTCTATTTTTAGTTTTTGTTAAGGCTCCATTAGACAATTTCACCGCCTCTGTAGCTAAATGGTGTCATCTAGCATTGCGTTGAGCGCGAGAGGTCCTGGGTTCGAATCAGTAAATTGTTTCGGTCGGGCAGGGCACAGAAGTCTGAACTACTTGCTTGTATATCCGATCAGTGAAACGGACACAGAAATGTATTCGCCCCACGAGCGCAAACGGGATTTCACTTCTTTACCATTAGAAAAGATAATTTGAGATTTGAAGAAAATTTCAAATCTTAGCTATTGTGTTTCTTGGGATATAACTTGATAATAGTCGGACAGAGAGCGATATTTTATTATATGCTATATTAAAACTAGAAGAGTCAATTGTCAATACGTCACAAATTAAAGCATCTTGCTGCGACCAATGCCAACAAAGAAACAGTGGTAAAGTAGGACGAAACGGAGAAAATAATTTATCTTTTCGTTGTGTGCGCTGCGAGAAAGATGCAATATGCCCAAAAAATATATATGAGAGAATGATTTCTCTTTAAATGATCTAAAACAATGTCTATGACAGTATATCGTCTATCTTTTAAGATTAACAAGAGCGACGGACGAT